GTTCCAGAGCCTCGGGACCACCACCTGAAAAGCTTTGATTTCAACAATCTTACCAAGTAAAATTTTCTTACTCCATTGGCAGAAATTTTTGACTTTAATTTGAGTTAAATTTTCAGACTAACAAGACAAATAATCTTACACATTCTGAAAACAAGATTATTATTCTTACACAATCAGTTCTTGTTTAGTAAATCAGTCTCAAAACAAGATCAAAAAGACTTTTGGGCTGGATATAAGATTTTAAAATTTGGTTAGGTGGACAGTTTTTGCAGTGTACCCTTTTAAAAACCCAAATCTCAATGACTGGTTATATAAAAACATATCAGTTATTTTCTATTGATTTACCATATCTTCCAAAAGTCTTATAGGTTTTAATTTTAATCACAAAATTTTTAAGAAAAAGACTTTTTTGACGTTGCTAAAAAATTTTCCATTAGTGTTGTTGTCTTGTTGGTGTGGCAGCATCTATAATGTGTTTTAACAAAAGCAAGACACAAAACAAAGACCATAATTTCAAGTAACACCTGAAATTGCATTTAGTGAATGTCATGTGTTTCATCACAAGGCATGTATTTTTTAAGAGAAATTTTATAATTTGTTAAAAAAGCGAACATGTACAAAGTGGGTGATGAGTACTTACATTTGTTGATGTTTTTAGGGGCCTCCAGGAGACTTTGGGCCAAAGGGCATACGGGGCCCCAAGGGGCCACAAGGTGCAATGGTAAGGGAATTAATTGTTTAGAACTTGTTGATAATTTGCTCATGTTTTACACCATCTCTTTTTTGTTTCTCCTCATCAGGGCAGAGGAGGACTTGTTGGTCCTGTGGGAATAATAGGTCCCAGTGGCAGTGCAGTATGTATTATATTTTAAGAAGACCTTAAATTACTGTTTTCCATTGTTACTCAGTACTGACTAGAGTGTGAACAACCTCTTACAGGGCCCTCGAGGACAAAAGGGAAATCGAGGAGAAATCGTGAGTCCTCTGATAAAATGTTAACATTATGTTTGCAGTATGTACTGACTTTATTAAAGAAAATGAAATATATTATTAGAGTAATATTAAATTTTTACTCTTTCCAAACAGGGATTTCAAGGTCCACAGGTATGTTTAACACATTGTCTCATTTTTGTTGTAGCGTACATTGTTTGTGTTAATGTGGGCTGAATAAATAGAAGTGAAAGTGAAGTGCAGTGTGTTTTTTTTTCTTCTTCTTCTTTATTAGGGATCTCCAGGACCTCGTGGACTCCCAGGACCACCAGTGCGTTTTTCACTTTTATTAGTTTACAGAAATATAATGTTAGGGTTTCAGATTTGTTGACTGAGTAACTTTGTTTTTTCAGGGTCTCCCAGGTGTCCCTCTGTCATTTGTAAGCCATGTTATTTGTGCATATTTTTTAAGGTTATCTAGACGGATACAATGGTGTTGATTACATGAGCTATTTTATTTTCTGCAGAAGGAAGATGGTCAGTTGTTTGATTTGCCTACTCATTTAAGGACTGAGGTCAGTAACTTGTGATGGTTCTGTTTCATCATGCCGTTTAAAGTGTTGAAAACATTGACTCTTGTTCTCTGTGGTCCAGCATAAGCCAGCAATGGACCTGCCGATGCTGGACCAGGGCGCAGAGATCTTTAAGACCCTCCACTACCTCAGTAACTTGATCCGGAGCCTGAAGAACCCACTGGGTACTCGGGACAACCCCGCCCGCATCTGCAGGGACCTGCACAGCTGTGAACAGAAGTTAAATGATGGTAAAGAGGGAGAAAGGTTGTGTTACACATAAAAATATACATTATTGTGCAGGCTGTTTATCTCAAATGTGCTTGGTTTTTCAGGCACTTATTGGATCGACCCCAACTTAGGTTGCTCATCTGATAGAATAGAGGTCTCTTGCAACTTTACCGGAGGCGGACAGACTTGCCTTAAACCAATAACGATATCCAAAGTATGCAACACACAATGACAAACTTATTGGTATAGTATTATGCATTGTGAAATCAAACAGACTTGCTCATCGCCACTTTTTTTTTTTGAAGCCAACAATGAGTGTTGGTCGAGTCCAGATGAACTTCCTGCACCTGCTGAGCTCAGAGGCCATTCAGCACATCATCATCCACTGTCTGGATGTCTCAGTGTGGAGGTCAGCTGAAGATCAGCTGCCTGGCAAGAAGTCTGTGAGATTCAAGGCCTGGACCGGGGAGGTGTTCGAAGTGGGGAGCGAGCTTGAGCCGGACATTGTGGAGGATTCTTGTTGGGTAAGGCTCAAGGGGTTTCCTTGAAGTTTGTGCTTGAAATATCATGCCAAAATGGAACTGAGTGTATCTCAGCATTTACAAACTGTCCTTAAATAATCTTAGTATAAAAATAAAGTTAACACTTGGGAGATTTTATCAGAAGTTTAAGTATCAAAGCAGCTGCTGATGTTTCAGGTGAGGATGGAACAGAAAAAAGGGGCTCCCCCCCCCCACCCCTGAAGTATGAAGGATGTAACATGTTGGCACAATCAATAAGTGTTAAAAAATCTTTGGTTTTTATTGCAAAAATGTATTTATATTTTTCATTTATTTTGCACCCTATATAACGATGAGAAATGATTTAGCTTCAGCTGGTCCATGTTTACTCAAAATCAAGTAAAATAAATTTTGAAAAAACTTTATAACATATTTTGGATCTTGCTTTGACTTGCATTTCTAAAAGGTTTAAAACATTTATACAAATTTGCTCTGATGTATTTACAGATTGGCGTTGATGCCATTTTGTCTAATTTGTTTCCTTTCTGATTCAGGTGCTTGTAGTTTTAACTGTGTTTCGTGGCTTTAGAAATGGTTTTGTGAGCTTTGAGCTAAGATTTTGATGTTTCATTAGATACAAAACATGTCCATGTTTAAATGACAGATGTTAAGTTAACAGAAGTTAAAAGGAAAACAGTAAATACAGTTTTGCCCCCTGCACTGGGGGCATGGGGCTCAAGAGATGTTGTATGTTTTGTCTTTTAGATCAGTGGTTCCCAAACTTTTTGTCTTCTGACCCACAAAATATCCACGGCAAAAACTTGTGACCCCAAATATTACTGGTCTAAGTACACAAACTTCTTAAATATACCTTAAAAACACAGAATTTTGGACAATCTAAACAGCTTGTACACAAATATAAATACTTATTTATACTTATTTTGTGTTTTTGTAATAATTATAGAGAAATTATTACCTCACCAATTATTTAATTACCCTTTAAATTGCTTTCTGAAGTGCAGTGGTTCCCAAACTTATCAACTTTTGACCCACAAAACAACAGTAGCAGAGACCTGTGCCCACAACTATTTTTGGATGATAAACATTTGTATCAG